AGAGAAGAAAGACCACCCCTCCTGTTATCAGCGTTCAGTTCAAAAGCCAGCATCTCTGATGGTATGGGGGTGCATTAGTGCATATGGTGTGGGACACTTGCATGTTTTAAAAAGCATCATGAATGCTGAAAGGTATATAAAGGTTTTAGAGCAACATATGCTCCCCTCCAGACGACATATATTCCAGGGAAGGCCTTGTGTATTTCAGCAGTACAATGCAAAACCACATACTGCAGCTATTACTACAGCATGGCTTCGTTGTAGAAGAGTCCGTGTGCTGAACTGGGCTGCCTGCAGTCCTGATCTTTCACCGATTGAGAACATTTGGCGCATAATTGAACAAAAAGTTTGTCAAAGGAGACCCAAAACTCTCCAGCAGCGGGAAACCTGTATTAAACACGAGTGGGATCAAATTCCAATGGCTAAACTCAAGAAACTTGTCTCCTCAATGCCCAGACGCCTCCACTCTGTGTTAAAAAGAAGAGGAGATGCTACACCATGGTAAACAGGCCCCTGTCCCAACTTTTTTGAGACCTGTAGCAGCCATCAAATTTGAAATGATCTCATTTTGTGGATAAAATTGTAAAATTTCTCAGTTTCAACATTTGCTATGTTATCTCTGTTCTATTGTGAATAAAATACTGGCTGGTGTGATCTGAAAGTCATTGCATTTTGATTTTATTCACAATTTACATTTGTCCCAACTATTTCAGGATTGAGGTTGCACTTTTAAAAAAATAATACATTTATATAATTTATAAAAATATAGATAAGATAAACTGCATGCAATTTTTATTCAATTAATCAGGATTAACTTGAAATTTTTCATATGTGCATAATTTTATTAATTTTGTGTGCTTTTTTTTTTTTACTGTTAAGTTTGTTTTTATAAATCCGAAATCCACAAAGAAATTGGCCTAGGCATCATTTCTGTGCTTGTGCATCGTTTATAAATGAAACCCCCAGCTCTCTACCATTTTAAAATAGAAGATACTTTCTTAGCAAGAAATTGAAAGCAGTAAATATTGCTGAAACAACATTTCATCTCTAAGCAGTATAGTGACACAGATTATGGTCCTGTTTCAGTAACAGAAGGTTTTATGATCATACACTAAATATCACCAAATCTCAAGTGACAGGACAGCGTACAGCATTAAGAAAAACAGTACTGAGAACAAACAAACGAAGATCTTTGAAGAAAGTGGTTTTCTTAACATCAGTTTCAACAGGGGAATCTGGGCCTGACTAGTAAGTATAGTTCATAGTTAATCACATTATGGATGAGACAGACATTTTTGTAATTGATAATATCATCCATAATCTAGAAGGTTTTCTTCCTCACAAGGATGGAGGGGTGCTGGAGCCTATCCCAGCTGACTATGGGGGAAAGGCAGGGACCCACCCTGGACAGCTCGCCAATCCACAGCAGGGCGCACACACCATTCACACACAAACTCACATCTAAGGGCAATTTTGAGTCTCCAGTTAGCCTACGTGCATGTCTTTGGAGTGTGGGAGGAAACTCATGTAAACACGGGCAGAGCACACAAACTTCACACAGAAAGGCCCCAGACAGGATTCAAACCCACAACCTTGCTGTGTGGCGGTAATGCCACCCACTGCGCCACCGTGCTGCCATAGAAATAATATATGCACAGCATTTTGGTTTTTAAATGCGCTAAATGGAAAGGAAAGAAATATTTCAAATAAAGCCCAATAGTTTTCGGTCAGCGCCGCACATCGCGGGTTGCAGTTCGCTCACCTTCCTCCTCCGCTGCTTGATGTGGTTCCTTCTCTTACGGTGGGCAGCCCTGGCGCTGTAGAGGATTCCCAGGATCACGAGGGCACCCGCGATGCCAATGCCCACAGGCGCCAACATCCCTGACGCATACCCTGCCTGGCAACCAGAGACAAGCGCTGGAACACCAGGCTGAGAGACCAGATGGCACACAGTAATACATTACCCGTCCAAGAATGGTACAGCTAAGCTGAGCTGGGATTTCCTTAGGACAGGGGTCTAAACTCCTTAAACTCAAACTTTTCACTTAAGTTTTTCCTTAAGTAGGCTTCAAGTTAGAAAAAGCATTTTTTAAATATTGTATAATAATGTCACACACTGTACATATTCTGTATCTGCTGGTTGCAGCGCTTCACTGAAGCTGCATGACACTTACATTGAAAGAAATATTCAAACCCAGGACGCTATGTTTTTATGGCCACAACATTAAACAAATGGAAAATATCTGGATCTTCAACATCATTTTAAACACATTTCCCTGAAATTCAGGAGGGCATATTTAGGATTGTTGGAAACCTTGGGATCTCCTCAAGAATTTAAAATAAGCCTGAAGCTCCATAGATTTGAAACAGCGGCTGCTTTATGGAGATTAAAAAAAAAAAAACCGGTACCTACTCCCAAGAGCCTGCAGACACAGCTGTTTTTTTTTATTCACTTTCACTAAGCACCCTATTTATGTGATGGAAACAATGTGTGCAGACTCCAGCCAATCACTGACTAAAGCTAATTACTTAAATGCAGGATCACATTGTAATTTAGCAGACACCAGGCCGTCCAGGGATTTTTTGAGATCCCTGTTTTAAAATAAAGAGCAGGACTGTGCCACATGTTTGAGAGCCAGCAGTTCCATTACCCAGATAAGCACACTGATAGTTTCTGGTCAATAGCATTAGGTAAACACATGAGCGTATGTGAATCCAGGTTCCAAAAGTAAATCCTCTCCAGTTTTTTGTTCCAATCAAAGGATTCGGAGCGACCAAATTTAACGTAAATCAAGTCGACTACCCCTCCATCAAAATTCCGCCTAAACACTTGCTTTATCCAGACGTGTAAGTCCTATGTAAAATCACAAGTTTGTCCTGCCCAACCTGTCATCACTCGGTGAATTCAAGCGAAAGTCTGGTTATATATAAAAGGACGGCTAGTAGGAAATGCTTTTCGAGAGAACGATTATAGGAATTAATTTTTTTTTTTGTGCGTATTCCTTATAGAACTCAGCAAAGTTCTTTTGCAGGGGGCAATTATAGTGGAAAACTTACCTCATCTCTTATCTTCTCTACCCAACCACGCACTATAAAAAACAAAATATATAAAAATGTAACATGAGCAATGGTCATTTCAAATTACAGGGCACTAATGGCAGAGCCAGGGCTGAAAACAGGGTGGGCAAAAACCATCCCCTTAAACCGATAAAGCCCTGACCTGTTCTCAGTTATCTTCCACCATTTACATGTTTTCCAATTATAGGAATAATCCATCAGCAATTAAAGACACAGCTTTTTTCTTAATCCAATCTAAGGTCAAATAAATATCCTCATAAGAAGGAATGCACTTTACAAAAGGTAAACTGCACCGGAGCATCTGTGCTAACTTTTTGGCGCATCCTACAATGCAGGCAGTCAAACTTCCGATTATGATTGTTTAAATTAAATCAAAGACAACAAAAATTTGAAACACCTTAACCAAGTTTAAATAACACTGAATTGAAATGCACCAAATTGTGTGTCCATTTCGTTAGCCTAATAGCGTAGTTGCCTAAGTCATATTTGAACTTTTTCGGAAAACAAGAAAAACACAATTTTTAGCAAGCACATTGCTATTTTTTTTTGTATTGCAACAGTAAGCCAAAAAATGACTTAGGCAATTATGCTATGAGGCTAACGATTTGAAGCTAAAATAAACTACATGGAATTTTCATTTATTTAATCAGGATGGACTTGGAATTTATTGACATTGTGCATAATCTTAATAATTTCCCTTTTTTTTAATGTCATGTTTGTTTTTATAAATCAGAAATCTGCAAAGAAAGTGACGTACGTATCTTTTTTGTGCCTATGCACCATTTATAAATGAGGCCCCAGAGCTGCACACACCTGCTTACGGACACCTTCAAAGCATGCAAAATAACGGTTGCATGTATTTTGAATAATTTCTCAGTGCCGTAAGAAGCCCATCTTTACCATGGCACAAGGTTCTCCCTCAGTCGGACAATAATAAAATGCTTTTGAGAGACTGTTACAAGCGCTATATATGAAGAGTTTGCTAACAAAAAGCAATATATCCATTTTACTCATTCTGATCAAATCAGCTTTTTGTAAGTTGGCGCCTATTGCATTTTATAGAAAAACACAAACTTTGGCCATGAAAAAATACACCTCCTTGCATGAATTACTAAAGACGGATTTTGGCACCATGTGTAAGAAGCACAGGGCTATCGCTCTATGGTTTTATCTCATTCCTTGTCATTTTGGCACTTACTGCCTGTTGGAAACAAACTCTTCATATGCAATAAAGACCCTATTGATCTCCCCATTTTATGTTTCATTATTCGAAGAGCCTGTTCTGTTTTCAAAAGCAATGTTGTTTTTAGACCCTGAATGTCCACTCTGACAACTCTTGTGCAAAATTAGCCAATCAACAACACGTACATAAAGGGTGAAAGATTGATTAAACCATGCCCTGGTAAAATGGGTCTGGTGCGATTGAATGAGGGAGTTTCAATTAGCCAGTGGCACTGTGTCATGGACTGGCGAAGGTACTAAGCAGCAGCAATGCGAACAAGAATCTAGGCAAAAGGAGACCAAAAAACCCACAATACAGAACACTCGGTACTTAGTATGCACTTTTATGCTCCCTCATACACATGCACACACACACACACACACACACACCCCTCCATCCCCCTCTCCTCCCCCCCACCCCCACTCTCACTGAGGCTATAGTGGCGCTGAGCCCAGAGGTGAGGGCGTGGCACATGGCTGAAGGTGGGGGGCGTAAGGGGGTGCGGAGGGGCCTCTGATTCCTCTTCATGGCTTTCATCTTCTTCTGAGTCCTCAGTGTCCTCATCTTCCTCATCCTCATCTTCATCATGCTCTTCTGCAAGATGGGCCATAAAATAATGTAATAGAGCAAAACAAAAACATCATTTATCCACAGAAAGCCCACACAAGCATGAGGAGAACACGCAACTTCCACGCTGAAAGGTCCCAGACTGGATTCCAACCAATGACCTTCTTGCTGTGAGGTAACAGTGCTACCCACTGCACCATCATAACAACAACAGTGCCAACATTGCACTATGCTGCCAATTACAGTGACATAATAAAATAAACCGACGAGCCACTCAGCCCAACAATGCTTGTCATTTACTTCTGCTAAAGTGCAACTTACGCAGTTCACCTAAACACTAGATCTAGCTCTAGCATTGAAATAAAACTGAGATCTGAGTTTCTACCTCCACTACATGACCCGGCAAGCTACTCTAAACTGTACACTGAGGCTATTCTCGGACAGACCCGGACGAGCCCCCAAATATGTTACGGCCTCAAAACTAAAGGCTTCAGGTGAGGCCAGCAACATACAAAGGTCACCAGAATTGAGTTTCAAACAGTAACAAAACTAAATGTATTTAAAATGCTCATACCAAACCACAAAAAGCCAATCAGAGTCTGAGAGAGCCCGTCCCATGAGAATATGTACCTTCGTATTCCAGCTGCTCCAGTCCTGACTTGGGTTTAGGCAGAGGCAGACCAGCTGTCCCCGCAACAGTCGTCAGGAGGGTCGCCCCAGCATCGCTGGAAGGTGGGACAGTGCTGAGAATGGGATGGGTCTCCGTAGCCATTTCTGTTGCGCCATGTTCTGTGAGAAGAAAAAACGCAGCGGATTGCACATTGAGATCACACATATGAACACTGCTCCAAAAAAAATCATAAAACTCTCTCCCTCAGCTATTTTTTCTCTCATGGACCCAACTGAATGTTATGGCGGCACGTAAATATTAATGCCCTTGTTTAAGCCTAGCTTTGAGAAAAACAAATGTTTTGAAATATATTAAAGCTAATGGTAACAGCTTTTGGCTACTCCTTTGTTTCAACAGCAACTACATTCCAAAAGAACATAGGTTTAAAAAATAATTTTTTTTTTCTTGAAACAGTTCCAGAAATTCGGCAGCAAGGCTGCTCCTCTCTCGCCACTATGTGGTGGAAACAATAACTTCCCTATCACCTTCAGAGTCCTGCTGTTCCTGCGGTAGGCCTGCAGGGGGTGCTGTGGTGGACAGCAGCACTGCAGTGCTCACTGCCTCAGGGATCTCGGAGCCAGACATCTGCCACGGCGAGGAGAGTGAGTCCGACGGACCGGGAAGAGACTCGTCCGAGATGGTGTGGTCTGCGTCGGCGGTCGTCACGTCGACAAGCTCCTCCTCATCCGATGACTGCATCGCACCCGATGGCTGCAATGTCATGGTGGAGCCACCAGGGGGCGTTGAGACCACTGCCTCTGGATCGGCATCATCTGCGGGGTCGAATAGCAGAGGGAGGTGCCCGGGGAAGAGAGTCCCTGCCCTGTCCATGTCCTCCGAGACCGTGTGGTCCAACGGCGTGACTGACATCCACGATCTGTCTGAGAGAGGCATCGGCCCGGCCTCGCTATCGGCGAAGCGCGCTTCATCCTCCTTCTCCAGCCCTGTCAGGAGAGAGAGGAGATAATAGTTGCTGACCAATCACAGTCCACGCTCCATTAGTTTGCTGTGAGGGACCAGCACAGTGACTGTTAAATTAGATCAAGTCAAATTTATTCACAGACCCCTGTACTAGCTTCAAAGTCTAAAATAGCAAATAATTAGACTAGTTTCAGCTCCTGCAGGAATTTTTAACTGGGGCGTGAAGAAATGTGTCAACAGGATCTCAGGCAGCAGAGCAGAGCTCCAATATCTGTATCTAACCTTTGTCCTTACGCAGGGACACAGAAATTCAGTATTGTAATTCAGAATATACGTAAGTTGGCCCAGGGTCCCGTTTCACAAAGCCTGATCAAGCGTGATAACTGTGCTGAGCGAAGTTCACAACCCTCGTGGAATAGCATAGACTGAGGTAAAAAAAAAAAAAATCGCTGTTTCAGGTTTTACTTCCTGCTAACCCAGGATTTCTGCTTATTAAAGTACTCCCGAACACATGAAGCAGCCACCAGTTTTGTTCCTGATATGTTAGTATGGGAAAGGTGCGTCCAATGAAAATAATTATTCAGGTGTTATTCCTAACAGTAGCAAATGTCAAGTACTTTGCAACTTCCCCATAAGCATGATGTATCTGCTGCAAATAGTTTTTAATGGAGCTGTCATTACATTATAGTTAGTTGACTATAACAGTTTACTATACCAAGCGGGGGCCAACACCCCCTTAGAGCAATGTAAGGTTAAGGGTTTTGCAAAAAAAAAAAAAAAACTGCAGTGATCTTTATTTGGCTAAACAAGAGCGTGAGCCACCAACCCTCCAAATCCTAACCATGCACCTCATCCACTAGGTCAAAGGGTGTCAAACACCAGCTTGGTTTTTCTGATTTTCCGGAAAAAGTTTTTCATTTAAGTCACTGACTAGTAAGAGTCCACACACCATGTTGTGAAGGAATTAATTTGCAGCTGATTGAAAGGAGAACACAGAAGCCAGCAGAAACTGCAACCCATCAGCCTGCACCTGACTAAGACCTTCACTAAATCCTCTTATGGGCCGCATACATTCCCCTCTCTCACCTCCATTCTGAAATGCTGCTGCAGAAACACTGGTGATGTCCAAGACCTCCTGCTCTGTTCCCAGGCCCTGAGAAGGAGTAGGCTCTCTCTGTCCTTGATTGGGGCTCAACTGAGGGAGGCTAATCACTGTGGTTGTAGGTCCCGGGTAAGTATTCGGGGTCAGGGGGAGGTGGGCCTCCAGCGCCTCTGTGGAAGGAGTCTGAGCATCTCCTCCGACTGCTACAGGCTTCAGCTCAGGGCCCGCCGGAAAGGGCCCTAACTCTGCGGTCTCTGGAGCCAGGGGTTCGGTAGGGCGATCAGGAGACGCGAGGGAAGGAGTCTTGGCCAGATACGCCTCTCGCCAGCCTTCCTCAGGAGCTGAGGTCTGGCTCAATCCCGCTCGCTCAGCACTGCTGAGCCACGACTCCCTCCCGCTGGTCTCCACAGCTGACGGGTGTTCGAAGGGAGCTAACGGATCGTGCATTGCATGGTCAGCCGCTGTGGGCCCAAGTGTAGCTGCCCCGTCAGCAGCTCTCGTACCCTGCGTAGATGCATCGTCAGATGTTTTGGTACCATGCGTAGATGCATGGTCAGATGTTTTGGTACCGTGCATAGATGCGCGATCAGCTGCTTTGGTCCCCTGTATATTCACATGGTCAGCAGCTTTGGTCCCTGGTGTCTGTTCTTTGGATCCTTCAGCCTTCTGCATCTCTGAGTCCTCGGTGCTAATCTCGGAAGCCTCCTCTTCAGCCGGCAGGGATCCAAACTCAGTCTTCTCAGAGATGGCTGGCTGGGATTCAGCTGGAAGCCATCCGCTGGGCTCCTCCTGTGGCAGGTTTCCAAGATGAAGCCCCCGCTCCGGAGTCCTCCTCAGCCCTGCCTCCACGGTCGCTACGGGTGCAGGCACTGGAGGGTCCCCAACCATAGTCTCCAGGGCTGCCCGGGCCAGGAGCCCAGCCCCAACCAATAGCAGGGCTTGAACATTCGCATGACCAACCATCTCTCAGTTAAAGGAGGGCATTGAATTCTGTAGCAGGTGGAGTAATAGCAGGCAGGTCCAAAGCCTTAGGGAGAAGCCATTAATTCAAAGATAAATTAGGAAGGTAAAAGGCTTCACTTCAGCTTAAGAGCTCAGATATTGCCAAGTAATTACAGCGATACACTACTTTCTATCGTACTGGTAATGACGAATGGCATAGCAATTTGCCTAGTACTCCTATTATTGATGTTAACATTAATAACACAAATATGAACAGCTATGGCACAATTACAGAGCTATGGCTAGAAACGGACCATAAAACCTATGAATTAAATCTGCGTGTATTTAGTAACAAATTACTGTTACTATCAGTCCGGTGCACGTCCATTAACACGACCGCGCAATTTGTAATAGAGACGGACCGACAAAGCCAGAGAAACTAACGGGGCCGTGAGTTTCAATGGATCCTTGTCCTCAAGAGACCAGCCCCGTCTCCATCGCTAAATAACAAAGGCGGTCAGGCACATCAACATCGCACATCCTGATCTTCGAGCGTTTGGGTTTATCGTTGATATCTTGCGGCCTCATATTGTTATAGGCTATCACAACTAGTCAGGCTAATTGAGCCAACATATTGACAATTCGTTGATTATTCTCACGAAACTTTATTGGTCAAATACTTCGCATCATCAATCACTGTATTAGGTCAGAGAAAGAGGGCAAGGAAACATCATGTCACACGTTGAAAAGCAAATTTGAAGCCAGTTTACAGCGACTGAAAACAGTCAGCTTCGCGCATCCACTGCAGTGAGTCTGCAAGGCATTTAAGCGTAATTAGACATGAGGCGGAGGCTATTTCAAATGACGATGTTTAAGGCTAAAAATAAACAGTATTATTTATGGAATAACAGCTGTAAATCGCATTACATCATGTGATTAAAATATAAATTAACAACAGCAAATTCCACGCAGTAGTTAGTATAATAAAATGATATAATTATAGCATGTTTCTACAAAAGAAACCCGTTCATTTTTTTTTTCAGAAGAAAACATTGGTTTAATGCTTTTTTCCTTACCTGCCGTAAAGCATTAGCTGTGATATTTAGCTCATTTAAGAAGGATTACGCACACGTAAATATTCTGAAAGCTGAATACACCATTTGAAGTCTGTGATTTAATGTTGGAAGCAGTCGTTAATGACCTGAAGCACGCAGTCTAAATGATTTTGAAATTGACAGTGCGAATGCTCTGGGTTGTGCGTTCCTCTTCTCCGTGCCTGTGACGTGTGCGCGCCCTGGTACAACTAGTGGAATGACTGTGTTTTGCAGCCGGTGTTGTTTTATATTTAGTTTTGTCTGCATCTTTGAGAAATACCTTTTATGCCATTAAGGACCATAAATACTTCTTTCTGAATCGTCTATTTTTCCGAAGTTTTTCCTACTCTGTAGTTCGGTGGTCTTTCCTAGTCGTTCGACGTGAAATTCGAATGAGGAAACATATACATTTGATGTTTTATATATGGGATGGTTTATGAAAATGTGCAACATCATTCAAAGCATCTCATTATAGTG